TCGTGGTTGACACATCTCTGCAACATTGCGTGGTCATCGGAGGCAGTTCCTGTGGAGTGGCAGACCGGGGTGGTGGTCCCCATCTTTAAGAAGGGTGACCTGAGGGTGTGTTCCAACTATAGGGGATCACACTCATCAGCCTCCCTGGAAAGGTCTACTCCAAGGTACTGGAGAGGAGGGTCCGATCGATATTTGAATCTCAGATTGAGGAGGAGCAATGTGGTTTTCGTCCTGGCCGTGGAACTGTGGACCAGCTCTATACCCTTGCAAGGGTGATGGAGGGGGCATGGGAGTTTGCCCAACCAATCCACATGTGTTTTGTGGATTTTGAGTAGGCTTATGACCGTGTCCCCAGGGGCACCTTGTGGGGGACGCTCCAGGAGTATGGGGTGGGTGGCTTTCTGTTAAGGGCCATCCAATCTCTTTACCAGAGGAGCGTGAGTTTGGTCCGCATAGCCGGTAGTAAGTCGGACCTGTTCCCGGTGAGGGTTGGACTCCGCCAGGGCTGCCCTTTGTCACCGGTTCTGTTCATTACCTTTATGGACAGAATTTCTAGGCGCAGCCATGGTGTGGAGTGTGTCGAGTTTGGTGGCTGGAGAATCTCGTCTCTGCTTTTTGCGGATGATGTGGTCCTCCTAGCTTCATCCAGCTCTGACCTTCAGCTCTTGCCGGCAGGAGGCCCCCGGGTCGACCTAGGACATGTTGGAGAGTTTACATCTCCAATCTGGTCTGGGAACGCCTTGGAGTCCTGCCGGAGGAGCTGGTGGAGGTGGCCGGGGTGAGGACGGTCTGGAGCTCCTTAGTTGGGATGCTGCCCCCGCGACCCGGACCCGGATAAGTGGAGGAAGACGACGGCGGCCGTGGGTTTGAATGCTTACACCTCTGTAACTACATTTACAAAACATTCTACAAATTAGTTTTCAGTGTCACATGTAGCAGTCACATTTGTAAAAAAAATATACTACTGTGGTTCAGCAATCCAAAAATGCACAAATCATAAGGCTATCAATCCACCATCAATACAAATATTCACATCCTAATGCCCTTAATCCAGTGTGTTGAGTTTCATAAATCTGGTTACCTTTGGAATGTTTTTGCAACAGTCACTCTAGGAGATGGTCTTGCAGATGAAGTGGAAGCTCCAGCAGCACTCTGTGGTCGGTGGAAGGAGAACCGAGTGGGGTTGTAGGATGCAGGCACGCTTGATGACTCCTCCATGCCTTCTCCATGAACTTCGTAATGACCTCTCACTGAGAGGTCCAATGTACTGAAGCGTCTGTCATTACCAGGAAAAATGGCTACATTGCTGTCATCAGTAATATACAGACTGGTGCAATGAACCTTTGAAATAAGTAAAAAGCAATTTAAAAATGTTCTCTGCACAGCAACATCAGTAAAATGTGTTTTAGAATAAAAGGCTACCTGGAAGATTCTTATCTTTTCAGTCATCATGTCTTCTTCCTTTAAAGTCAGCCGTTTTGTTCCTTTGAACAACATATAACTGTCCATGTTGGTTGGTTTAATTAACAGCTGGTCGTGAATCTGATGAGGTCTGAAGCTAACGTAAAAGTTTCGAACTCTAGCAAGAAAAAAAAAAACTCCGGGTCACGTAACCCCGAATAACGAAATATTAAAATCAAATTCGGTGCAGCAGCCATTTTTCCATTTCTCATATTTGATCTGAAACTAAAATAGAAAATACGAAAAACACGACTTTTTTTATTTTTTAAAATCCGTTTGTAAAACAAAAAACAAAAAAAAAAACAAATCCATTTTTCCTTTTTTGGTTGTTTTCAATTGAAAATAGAAAGAACGAATGATACACGGATTCACCTGCAGCCTTTGGGATGACCACTGTGGACGTGCAATCTTCCGGGTCACAATGAATCACACCAAATTCAAGATGATCTACTCCACCCTCCGGTTGGATGACAAGCTGAACAGGCCTTCCCGTCTCAGGCAGCTTGCCCCTATCTGCTCGATTTGGGACATGTGGACCTATCGCCTCCAAGTGCAAAGTACAGATTGAAACTCTGGGTCACTGCAGTGACCCAGAGTTTCAATCTGTACTTTGCTGGTTTACTTGGCATATACTGGCGAAACTTGCACCTGCCTCTGAAAGGGAAAAGCTGCTCATCAACACACACATCTAACCCAGTGTTAAAAAGCATTTGGAGGCGATGGTTCAACATGTCCCAAATCGAGCTGAATTCTGGAGCAGGATCCGTTGTCCTCCCTTCTCTTTCACTGGACAGGTCAGGAGAAGAAGTCAAGGAAACAGAATGGTCTGACTCCACCTCAGAGTCCACTGGAGATGTTTCACTCTCCTCATTTTCTTCATGAGTACCATGCTGCAGCTGGAGCTGATCCAGAACTTGTTCCACAGAGAGATGCCTCTTCATCTTGCTCCGTGGCTTTCACAGAAGTGAAATGACCAGATAAACAGACTACAAGGAGTTTGAATGTGGCAGGTGCATAAACATACTAATTGTTTTTGTTTTCTACACTTTGAAGTTCAGTAGGAGAGTCAAACTGTGTTTTATTTACTTATCAGAGGTCAGGTTGGCCTTTTGACTTCAATAAAAACAGCAGAAAATCTAAAGAAATGTGTAAACTTTCTCGCCTGGGCAACATATGGAGAAATTACTGAATTTGGTGGTGAACAATAAAAGTCATACATTTGAATACTTTTGTCCAAAATTAAACCGTAACATCACAGAAAGCATGATTATTTGTTGCAGGTGATACAGGATCAAAAACTGTGGTTTGCACAGAAGTCAATGGGACGTTTTTGTTCATAACAGGCACAAGAGGGTGGTAAATTTTTAATCTGCTGCTACACAAAAACTAAAAAAGCATAAAATGTGATATTTTGCCAGACTCTTGACATATCCAAGGCTGATTTAAAAAAATATTTCAGTCACTCAAAATATGTTTCATGTAAAATATCTCCTCTTTTGTCTGCTTTTTTTAATGAAAAAAATGAGCATCACATAATCAAACTGGCATGTAAAGGGTTAAATTTTAGATAAATATTCAATATTTGATTTTTTTTATCAGAACTGAAGTTGATCACAAGATTTAGACCCAAAAAGCAGAAAAAAATATTAATCTGGACCATTTTAAAGCAGTTTTAAAAGTGGACGTTTTTGTCCTCTAATGGCTCAAGTGTATAGTAAATTTTAAATCTGTTGCTATGTAAAAACTATAAATGCAAAAAATTCAAATTTTTAAATATTTCATAACATAATAAAGACTGATTTGTACTAAACACCCCAGGCAAAAAAAATGTCTTTTTTAGAAAATAACTCAGTTTTAGTGTTTTTTTTTCATTAATTACATGAACGGCTTTGAGTATTTAAACTGGCATTTCAAGGGTTAAAAGCTTCAAAATGATATAACGTTTTTATGTTTGAGCAGGGCTGATGTTGTTCGACAGATCTATGAAAAAAAAGCAAAAAAAAAAAAAAATAAAAAAAAGAATGTATACATTTTTATAGCCACTTTTACAAGCGGATGTTTTTGTCCTTTTATATGAAAATTAAAGTGAAGCCTGAGGGTTAATAAACTTTTGACTAAACATTTTTACATCCTTCATTCCTTTACACATATCAACACAAAACATTTCATTTTTCAGATTCATCGTGTTAAAATGTGTTTCAGAAAACCTTTTGTGCATTTATCAGAAGATCTGAAACAAACTCAGATGACACGCCTGAGTTATTTAAATGAGCTTTATTCCTGCTTCAACACCAGCCCGACAACATGTCATCATGTTAAAGTTAAGTTATTTATATGTAAATGTATGTTTTCATATTAAATCTTTCATTTAGTTTATAACCAGAGGGACAGTCCAGGTCCTGGAGGGCCGCTGTCCAGCATTTTTAGGTGTTTCCCTGCATCAACACACCTGGTGTCACTCAGCAGGTGATTAACAGGCTTCTGCAGAGCCTGATGAACTGCTGAAGCAGGAAAACAACTAAAACATGCTGGATACCGGCCCTCCAGGACCAGGATCGGACACCCTTGGTAACTCTGTGTGTGTGTGTGTGTGTGTGTGTGTGTGTGTGTGTGTGTGTGTGTGTGTGTGTGTGTGTGTGTAAATTATATCAACTAAAAGCAGAATGAGGATTTTGATTCAACAGCAGAAACTGCTATGTTGAACGGACGATCTGTAGCTTGGAGTAAAAACAAATTATGCTAAATGTGTTTGGTTTGAATTCCTGATATATTAATGAAAACCTTTGTTTATTATGTTCTTGATCTGGATTAAAGGGGAACTAGGCCATTTAGGCTGCTTTTAGCACCCCCCAGTGTCCATTTGTTGAACCAAAACCTAACCTTATCTCCTCACTAGGGCTGCACAATAAATCGTAAATATATCGTTTTCGCGATATCAGCATGAACAATATGCATATCGCAAAGAACTGATAAATATTGCAATGAATGGTCAGCTCAAATGTTTGCTACACATAATGCATTCTGTCAATCAAATGGAAGCATGATTTTTTTAACAACTAAATGGAGCTCTTCACCCATTTGGCCAACTGGGTGAGTTCTCATAGGTCAGATGCCCGCCTCCGAGGCGGATGGCACTTCATTTTGATGGTTAGCAAACACCTGAGTTAGTTTTATTCTGCTCTTTCTGCTGATTCTGCTTTTCCCTGGATCCACTGATTGCCTTTTCTTGTTCATTTTCTTTTTCCCTTTCCTCACATCTTTTGCATTTCTCATTGTTATGATTTTTTTATTTCTTTGTTTTGATTGTTTTTTTCCTGAGTTAAGATTGTATTTATCACAAGTAATATCGTCATTGCAATATTAATCATTGTTATCAAATATCGCAGGTTTTCCTAATATCGTGCAGCCCTATTCCTCACTGTGCGTTCGTCTTTTTAGCACCTTAATCTAACATCTGAAACGTCTCAGAGCGTTCCTCAGTGTCTACAGGAGTGATTCATCACTAAAATAAACAAATCAGCTGTGTTCCTGATCTAAAACATGCAGGGAACGTTGTGGAGCCAGACTGCAGTGCCAGGTCATTTTTCCCAACAGAGTGGCATGTCATTCTGAAGTTGCAAGTGGGATATTCTGGCCACAGCGGGCAAAAGAGGCTGGGTGGCCTTTCTTTAACCCTGTAGGGTCATTTTAGCACTGGTTCAAGTTGCTTTTGTTCAATATCAGAAAATAACCTTTAGATGTTACCATAATGGCACTATCTGAGCTCCATACTGAGTTCTGCGTTACAAACCAGCTTAAATTAGGAATGGCAGCAGCAGCTCAGAAGGTAGAGTGGGTTGTTCAGAAATTGGAAGGTTGCAGGTTCAATCATAGCTCTGACCGTGCTGCTGGTGTTGGTCAGTGTTCAGCAGCATCACCTCTGTCAGTGCGCCCCAGGGCAGCTGTGGCTACATCGTAGCTCATCCCCACCAGCGTGTGAATGACTGATTGTGGTGTGAAGCGCCTTGGGGGGTTGTAGAACCCTAAGAAGGCGCAATAGGTTATTTACCATGAGATTATCTGTTTTAGATTAAATCCTTTATTCTAGATGAATTAGTAGGTTTTATCTAGAAATATTATTTAAATGTTGCCATGTTTTATGAAGCTGTTAAATGAAACATTAACGTAAACTTTAGGAATCTGATGTTTCTTCTTCAGCTTCTCTGTGACACCGAGAGCAGATGTTTAGCTGCTCGTGGTTGAAGTAAAAAATTAAATAAAACAGAAAATGCTTATTTTAGATGAAGTTCGCTGTGCTCCCCTCTCCATTCCCATGTGATGCGCACTGGAAATACGCGTCATCAGTCCAGCAGATGCCAGCCCATGAAGAAGGCCTTAACGAGAAGCCAACACGGTTGGCAGGTAAAAGAGGAATATCCCAACTCTCTTACTCATTCAGTTCCTGTTAGATGAAACACACACGGTGTTTGTTGTGTCTTAAACGATTATCTGCTTCATTACTTTGTCAGTTTTAACGTTTCTGAACTTTCTTCTTCCTGCAGCTTCATTCTGAGTAAACAAGCTTCATTCACAAAGTTCCTCTTGGAAACAGGAGCAGCAGAACCTCCTGCTCCCTTTGGCTCCGCTCAGAACTGGACCAGAACAGAGCCACTCCTGATGAATCCTGTCCAGGTTTTCATTTGTTTTACTTCCTTCAGGATTCTGATTCCGGGTTTTCCATCCAGATTTGAACACAGCACGTACAAACTGAGGGTGTTGAATGTCTCCAGACCTGTCCATCAGGTCTTCTCCACCAGCAGGGTGGGCGTTTCCTCACAAAGCTCCGCCTCCTCCTCAGGCCCAACAAACACCTGAGTGTCCCAGTTTCCTTTCTGCAAACAAGTAAACAAACATGTTTATCTACTGGTGCGGTGGCTTGTTAGGGTCATTAAAAGAGGCTGAACAAGAGCTGAGACTAAAATCATAAATTCAAACGGTTTTGGTTCAGTTTTTACTCAGTAAAACATAAAAACAAGTTTTATTCTGAAGATGAGCTTAAGCTCAAAAAACTTCCTTCAGTCCTCCACAACAAGAGTCTCTAACAAATGCCCCCAAAACAACAGAAACTTCCACAATTAGTTCATGTTTGTTTTTTGGTAAAACATATGATGCAGCTTTAATCGCTGGGGATTCAGGGAAATTATTGACAGGTGGTGTGGAGGAAAACAGGATGAAGAAAACATTTCTGTTAATTCTATACTTGTGGGGATTATTTAGTTACAAAAATAGATTCTTTTTGTTTAGTTTTACATGGTCTTTCTTGTGCTGATAAACAAGGATTCACGTGAATAAATAAATCAACCGTGGAAAAAGGAGCTAAAAGATTTTCTATTTTGTTAAAAACTATGAAGTCATCATGGTATTCTGTGCACCAGTTAATCTCATCACTAGAATGAATCTAATTTAATCACTAATCTAACGGTTACACCAGCAGGAGGCGCTAGCGTTCCTCAGGCAAAGGTTCTGATTCTGTAGAGTTCTGAACACAGACCAGCGACTGCGGCAGCGGCTCCTTCTGGAAAAACATCTGCCAGGATTCTGGATGACAGTGAATGATGGACCAGAACAACCCGATCAGCAGACCCAGCATGATAATGATGGTCAGAATCACGGTGGTCGGTTCCTTCCACGCTGGAGCCCCGGGACCTGCCGGAGAGCCGGGAATCAGAGGGAAACCATGCTTTATTCAGGCAGACCCAAAAGTTTTTATTACATCAAAAACAGAAGAAAATCATCCGGACTCGTTGTCTGATTCCTGTTCATTTGTTTTAGGCTCAAAAATCTACAAAACTGTATTTGTGTGTGTGTGTGTGTGTGTGTGTGTGTGTGTGTGTGTGTGTGTGTGTGTGTGTGTGTGTGTGTGTGTGTGTGTGTGTGTGTACCTGTGATGGACACACACCGGGTCTCGGTGTACCCGCTATGAGCACCAGGGTTCAGGACCAACTGGGCCTTGACGCAGTACTCCTCTCCCTCCTGCAGGGCGGCGACATGTAGATCCTTCTGCTCAGCCGCCATCATGTAAACAACAGCCTGAAACAGAAGTTCAGCTCTTTTAGAGAAATTTTATGCAGCCAAACAAAAGATAAAGCATGTCTAATCAGTGATGACCTAAAGAGAAGATAAAGAATAGAAGATGAGACCTGCGGCTCGTCGTCTTTCTCCCACACTGTCACGCTGGCGCTCACAGACGGCTTTATGATCGACACCTGAAGGGCGTCATCCATCGTGGTCACCATCATCTCAGGAACTTGAAGAATTGCTGAAACAAAATCCCAAACCTTTAGGAGAAGCTCTTGCTTCAGTCGTAGACGGGATTAGGAACTGGACTCACTGTTTCTCCTGTTGAACGGGACTTTGGCCCAGTTTGACAGCTGGGAGCCGCACTCGGCTCGGACCTGTAGAACGTAGTCAGCATCCGTTCCCAGGTCCAGGCTCAGGTCACACTCACTGCCCGGGATCTTCTGGCATCTGGCAGCTTCCAGCCAGCTGTTGTTCATGAACAGAAGTTCAAACTCTCTGAGGAGGAAACAACAACGTTGGTAATCTTGTCTACAGTCAGGCTGATTTAGGATTAAAATATTCCTAAAGCTTCACTTCAAATAATTAAAACTAATCAGCTTTAAAAAAAATGTTCATGCCTCTAGCAACATTGTGTGTGTGTGTGTGTGGGTGGGTGGGTGGGTGGGGGGGTTACAGCTTGTTAATGTAGTTTCTGCTTTATGAAAATTCTACGGAAGCAGGTTGCAGGTTTAAATCCCTGCTGCAGCCTTCTCTCTTGCTCTCTTTCTTGCAATAGAAATGATATTTTCTTCTTCTTCTTCTAAAATACACAAATGAAACTTCGTAGTACATGCACTACCACAAACGTTGTCTAAAAACTCTTAAAATATTTTAACCTCAAACAAACGTTTATAAGAAAACATTTAAACTTCAAAACAAACTCATTCTGAACTTCCTGCTCTTTAATACTTTTAAAGTTTATTTTATATTAATAAATGATTGCAACTCTAAAATATAAAAAAGTCTACATACAACTGGGAAAACCGAGTTTCTGACAGTAAATATCAGAGGTAAATAATCTGTTACTCTAGAAACAAGAATTCTGTTTTAGCTCTATGATGTAAAAAAATTAGTTGCAGAATTAATGCCTAAAATCATCTTCAGCTCAGTGGATATCAGAAGTCCACCCCCCCCCCCCCCCCCCCCCCCCACCCCCTTAGTACAATGTCAGGTTCCTGTGCTGTACAAACAAACAAAAGATAAATAATTTCAGAACTTTTACCGCCTTTGTTGTGTAACGCTAACCCTATAAACTGAAAAACTAACTGAAAACCTTCAGGTGGAGGGATGAAAACCAAAAACACTAAAATAATGTGCTTGTACAAGTGTGCACACGCTAATACTTTGTTGAAGCACCTTTTGATTTAATTACAGCTTTTAGGGTATGCGTCTATCAGCATGGCACATCCTGACTTTGGAAGATGCCCGCTCGTCTTTGCAGAAACTCTCCAAATCGGACAGATTGTGAGGGCATCTCCTGTGCTCTTCAGATCAGGTTCAGGTCTGGGCTCTGGCTGGGCTGTTCCCAAACTTTAATCTTCTTCTGGTGAAGCAATTCCTTTGTTAATCTGGATGCATGCTTTGGGTCGTTGTCATGCTGAAAGACGAAGTTCCTCCTCACGTTCACACGTTTCTATCAGAAGCCTGAAGGTTTTAATATTGACTGGAATTTGGACTGTTCATAATTCCCTCTAAGGCCCCAGTCCCAGCTGAAGAAAAACAGCCACAAAGCATGATGCTGACACCACCTTGCTTTAATGTGGGGATGGTGCTCTTTTGGTAATGTTTTGTTTTTGTGCCAAACATATTTTTGGGAATTATGACCAAAAAGTCCCATCTTGGTTTCATCAGACCATAACACTTTTCCCCACATGCTTTTGGGAGACTTCAGATGTGTTTTTGCTAAATGTAGCCTGACTTGGATGTTTTTCTTCATAAAAGGCTTTCATCTTGCCACTCTACCCCATGGCCCAGACATATGGAGAGTACGGGAGATTGTACCACACAACGAGTACTTGCCACATATTCCTGCAGCTATTCCTGCAGCTCCTTTGTTGTTGCTGTAGGCCTCCCTGACCGGTTAGGGTTAGGGTTTGGAGGGGTGTCCAGTTCTTGGGAATGTCACTGTTGTGTCACATTTTCTCCACTTGATGAGGACTGTCTCCACTGTGGTCCATGGTATGGCTAAATGACTTGGACATTTTTTGTACCCTTCTCCTGACTAATCTTTTGACAATGAGACCCCTCTGATGCAGCTGTTTTTACAGGACCATAGCTTTTGCAAAACGGGATTTGCCGCGGCTCCCTGGGGAGGATTTTGGCATTTATAGTAGCAAAGCTGAAGCTAGAATAAACTGCCAACAGGCACCTCTCAAACCAAGACGGGATAAAGGGAGGTCGCTGGGCGGCCCCCCCGCATGTGACGTACAGGGTCGCGCATTCAGCGTCAGACGGAAGACACGTCAGACTGATGAAATTTCTTTTTCAGGACCTTTAGCTTTGATGTGACCTGCTTTTTGTCCCGCTTGACGCCCCACTCAGCCGGTGTTTTCATCACTCTGTCGAACAGCTGGCTGTCTCTCACCGTCCCCGTAAAAAGGTGACTAATCTGTTCGTCCGCTCGCACGGCCAAAAACTTGTGCGTCCATCCAGTTTGCCAAGTTGTAGGAGGTTGAAAGATACTAGTGAGTGGCCGTGTTTATCTGTGTTTATATCCCTTCCGGCCAGCAGTCGGCGCGCAGACAACGCGACCACCCTCTTTTGCGGGGGCGCCTCCCATAGTCGCTCCAAAAGGATTAGCGGGGCTGACACGCGTTTAGCCGTCAGAGGCAAGGGGCGCATGCAGCAATATATGGATTGTGGCTTTTGTTGTGGGATGCAACCAACTAAATATACCAGCTAGAGCAGCTGAACTTTATTTGGGGTTAATCAGAGGCACTTTAAACGATTCAGGTGGACTACTATTTAACATGATTTGAGTGTAATAGTTTAATTCTGAAGACAGCTACCTCTCCAGAAGAGCATGTGCACTCTTATGCAACCACATTATTTTAGTTGTTTTGGTTTCCAACCCTCCACCTAAAAGATTTCAGTTTGGTTTTCAGAGTGGTTTAGCTTATAGGTCACATTAATGGTGACACGTGTGTGTGTGTGTGTGTGTGTGTGTGTGTGTGTGTGTGTGTGTGTGTGTGTGTGTGTGTGTGTGTGTGTGTGTGTGTGTGTGTGTGTGTGTGTGTGTGTGTGTGTGTGTGTGTGTGTGTGAAGGTGGGTGTGTGTGTTTGTGTGTGTGAAGGTGGGTGTGGGTGTGTGTGTGCGTGCGTGCGCGCGCGTGTGTTGGTTATCCGACGCCATTCCAGAGATTTGTTCGAAGAGGGCTATGTAGGTCAGAGGCCAGCTGTAACTGGATCTGTGTCTCAGGCTCCGCCCACCCATGAAGCTCCTCTTCTTCTTTTGAGTTCACATTATTCAGCAGCTGTTTCTCTACATTCCTGCCAGGTTTTGGCTCCTGTTTGGAGGAGGTGTAGCGATGAGTCAGCATCCAACCTGTTTGGTGACTTACCGCTCAGAACAAAAGATCTGCAGATATATTAATGTCGATGCTCTTAATCAACACCAGCTAAAGATGGGATGGAACCAGCTGGTCTGGTCAGCACCAGCCATCACCACCATTACTGTGACTGATGAACACATAAATCTGGTGCTTTCTTTTACTTTGTTTTGTTTTTTACTGTATTTGTGAGGAAATAAGGTACTTTTAGGAAGAAGTTCTTTTTATTTTTGTATAATATTTGACCCGGATCAGGTTCTTGGGTCAGGCACCTTTAAATGAGCTGATTAGGGATGTGAACACAAAGGGATTCTTCTAGTTTAAGAACACGCAGGTTTTATCGTAAAAGTGAAATCGTTTCACTTTTCCACGTTTTAGTGAAGCTTTAACGCCTCCTCTGTGGGACTGAAGGGGTTAAACTCCCAGAATAACCTCCAATTGTGATCATTGTGATTCTGAGTCCAAACGCTTCAGAACAATAAAGTAACTCTTAAACAAAAGCTGTGATTGACGGCCGAGGACGATCCGGATTTGTGCAACGTTCTCTTTTCACCTTACAAGTAATGTCTGTTTACTTTGAGGGCGGGACTCCACCCCAGGCTATGGACGACTTCGTCTGCAACACTGTTATCAATAAAGCTTGTTTAGAAATGTGAACGGTGATCAGTCAGTTGGTGGAAACGAGGCTCAGGTTTCACTTGTTAATTCCGACTCGCCTGATTCTGGTTGTTTATAGTGAAACGGCACTCGGAGCCACCGGGTCGGGTTAATGAGACTAGAACCATCAGTAGCTTTGTGACACTTTTAGGATTAAATCTCTTTAAGATGTAGCTAAATAAATATAATATTTATGTACAAATTTCACCCGACCCAAGAGGAGTTAAGCTGTGAGGCTGTGGTTACCATGTAGCTCATCACCACCACTGTAAAGTACTTTGGGGGGCAGGCGCGTTGCAAGCTTTTCAAACGTGTGGGGGATGTTGTTTGTGGATGTCATCAGCTTTAAATTGAAACTCAACCTCAATCCAGTAACAGGTCCGCGCATAATTCACAGTAAGTCCTTCCAAAAACATTAATATTCACCAGTCAGGGCTTAATTTGAGGCGGATGTTGCCAGAACAAGATCCGGGAACTATCTTATTTTGAAACGACCGTTCCGGCAACTGTCCGCTAGGATCCGGTAACTCACACGACAAACTTGTGCTATACGCAGGATTCGAATTACAGTTGAGCTAGTGAGCTCCTGGAAGCCCTCAGCACACCCAGGGGGAGTCCGAAACGACCCTGGTTCTACTTATATTACATTATCTATGTGAACTCTCCGGGGATTATTTAGAGCTGAGAGGCTGCAGGCGCATCAGTGGGTTTGCGGCCGCTGCACAGGGGTAGGGGGAGAGGGCTGAAGCAGGGGAACAGTAAAGATGCAAAAACTACCGTTGTTAAAAGGTTTCTGCCGATGTCGGGTTTCAAGGAGAAACAGGAGAGGGGGGGGGGAGATGGAGATGTGGCAAACAGAGTGAGTGCAACGTAGAGAAACCAGAATGGTGTGGAGGTGAGCAAAACGGCTGGAAAAGTGTGGGTGTTGAACGATCTCAATAAGAAAAGTGTGGGTGTTGAAACCCCCACATCCCACACGGATGCGATGCCCATGTTGGGTGGTTGTGGAACCCTAAAGCGCTATATAATAGAGAGCATTTATCATTTCAGCTTTCTACTCACCCCTGGTACCGGACCGAGTACAGAACCGTGGTGTTGCAGGACGTCGTCGGGCTGGACCACCTCAGGATGTGCCTCAGGTTGACAGAGTCCATGAGGACTCTGCTGGGAGGAGACAGCGTCCAAACATCTGCAGACAGTGGAGGACTCAGAGATTAGAGATTATCTACTGAAACCATGATTTTGTTTGTGATTCTGCTGTTTTTGAGGACAAAGACGAGACTAATTCCTGGATGAGAACCTGGTAACTTCTGCTGATGGAAAGTGGCCTGACTCAGTGGTATTACAGATGTGGAGCTGATGTTAGACCTGAGAGCCATTCACACCAGATGTGCTGAGTCTGTATAAAATGTTCTTTCCTGTGTTTGATCTTTTCTGAGCATCAGATGATTTCAGTTTAAATTCCAGATTAGATTAATTCCTCTGACGAAAGACAGGAGTTTGTTTTGAAGCTGGATTTTTCTGCGTAAGATCTCAGAGCTACAAACTAAAAGCTTTTAATCATCAGCCTTCAGCTCAGCGTCCTGATGGACTCCAGCTGTCAGCGTTTCAACGTCAGTCAGACTAAAAACATGAGAAAACAAATGAAATGATAAAAATCAGCTAGTTTATTCACAGCGTAAAGTCAGCAGCAGATGTAAAAATAACAATTAAACTTGGTTTTAAAAGCTTCTGGAACATAAATCAGTAACACGGTTAAAGTGAGTTCATGTTAGAGTCAAACTACAAAAACATCACAGAAACTAACAGAACTCAAACAAACCTTTTGTTTTTGTTCTTAGGGTTTCTCCATCTCATGGTAAATGGTCTGTATTTGTATAGAGCCTTCTTAAGGTTCCACAACCCCCCAAAGCACTTCACAACACAATCAGTCATTCAACCATTCACATGCTGGTGGGCTACGATGTAGCCACAGCTGCCCTGGGGTGCACTGACAGGGGCGAGGCTGCCGAGCACAGGCACCACCGGTCCTTCCAACCAGCAGGCAAGGCGGGTTAAGTGTCTTGCCCAAGGACACAACAGCAGAATTCTCTGGTCTGAGCCGGGATCAAACCTGCAACCTTCAGATTAGTGGACAACCCGCTCTACCTCTTGAGCTACTGCTGTCTCACATTCATTCTGGAGAATTAAAAACTAACTTTAGTATCTGCTGCTGTAAACACTTTACAGGCTCCGCCCACTCAGTGCATTAAATGTGCTGGTGAGTAAATGATGCAGACCCAGGGAAGGGCTGTGTGACGCCATGTTGCTTTGGTCTCAGAAGCAGATATAAAAGCTGGTTCTGTTTCTAAAGAGTTAAATTAGCTCTACACTATAAAAGGTATTAATGTTCCTCCTAAAACCTGTCAGTGTGAGTTATTTTTTTTACCATAAAATTCCTAATTTTCATTTTTACTTATTTAAAATTCTGTATTTTCACATCTAAATTATTCAGAAGAGAAACACAGAAGGACAGATTTCAGAGGGTTTTGTAACCTGTTGGTAGCTTGGTTTATTTCTACTCACCGTTCATAAAGTCCAGCAGGATCAGCGGCATCAGGAGGTTCCTCAGGGTCATTACTATGAAGATCATGTCAGGAAATGCATTCAGCGTTCAGCTGTCCAGCTGACAGTAGAAATCCTTTAGTACGGTCCGGACTACCTGTCTAACCCATGGTGAGGTTGTGGTTCCTACGAGGTTCAGGTCGGATCTGCTGCACGGCCGGATGCTGAAGCTGGATTAAGAGTCACAGATCTGGTCTGACTGGTTGTGAGCTCCCTGAAGGCTTCAGCTGTCACCTCTGATTTACAGAGAAAAACCTGAAACCTCAGAGGCTGCTGCTGCTCGTCTGTTCTTTTGTTTATGTTCTAAACACGAGTTATGAGCCGAAGCCAGAAATAATATCTTAAAAGATCAGAGCTTCTAGAAATGCAGGTTTTCTGTTCTTTTGACGCTCTACAGAAACACAAACATTTTTCACCATTAATCCCTCAGACTTTTTGTTTTTACATATGAATTATCGTTTTTACCCCTAAACCTGTGTGCAAAACACATTTCATTTGTTTTCTTGCCCAGTTCAGCAGCGTGTTTCTAAATGTAAGGTGAAACTTGCAGCTTTAAACATGGCCTCCTGGGATGTCCCTCTCTCCTGATACCATCTCATGTCCCCTCTCACTTTCCCTCATCTCATTTGCCTCACTGCTGCTGCTGCTTTCCTCATTCTCTGAAATTATAATGGCACTGTTAGAATAAAGAATAATTTTAAAATAAAATTAATAAAAATGTCTTAATATTTCAAAAGATTTGTACCACAGTTTACTTGAGTACAATATGTGTGGTCACTGGTCAGTGGATCAACATACAGCGGTTCTGCTGTACTTCTCACTGCAGGGTCCTTCCTCCTCCTTGGTTCAGGGTGATGAACAAACACAGCATCAGCCCTGAGTCTCACCTTGCCTTGCCTAGTCTTAGTAAACTGTCCCTCCCCACAATGTGCCTGTAGAGTGGTGTATTAGTTTATTTCCTGCCACATTTAACAGTTTAATTGCAGTCTAGTGCAGTTGAGAGCAAAACATGTAGAGCCTTGATAGAAAACATTTGAGAGTGCACGTTAAACTCACTGCACACAGCTTTTTCTTATTGTGATCTCTGGTCATGGTGAGGTTGCTCCTGGTGACTTGAGCCAACCATTTTCTTCTTCTCTCTGCGACTTTGGGTAAGCCATAATTCTGATTCCTCCCTCAGACCGATTGCTACATCCATATGCAGCACAGCCAACCACGGTAAGATATTCAACCTAGAAAGGGATTATTAAAATGCAGTTTTTGTACATATAGAAATATTGAACTAAACCAAAAATATAGAGATGTTAAATTACATTTTAAAATTTTATCCAACCCTAAAATTAGTCACTTCAAATTTTAACCCACTGACACATTTTATTTTAATAATAATCAAAATAAAGTTATTCAAAAGAGTTTCATTAGGTCTTGAGTACATTGCTCATAATTAATGATTCAGCTTATTTGTGCATATGTAATGACTAAACATAATGTTGGTAAAATGCTTTATTAAAAATACATGTTGTACAAGTTTGGTGTTCATTTTTTCAGTTAGCACTTTTTTTATCTACTGTGATGAACCATACAGTTTTATTGAAAATTTATTTTTAATTAGTTGCTATAGAAGCCAGATAAACTGGGTTATAGATGCATGTACTGTCTTCACATAAAAATATAAAGTAATGATTGTAAAATGTATTCTACTGAACATAATAGATCATCATTCAAAGCATAAACAGCTACATATTTTCTTCAAGGTAAGCTGGAGCAGAATTCTAGCTTTCAATAAACACTTTAAAATGGATGTTACAACTCGAGTTTAGGGCTTCTTGTAGGACTTAAAGTTATTAAATATGTTTATATTAGAGCAGTGTGTTGCATTACTACATCAAATTTATTGCTATAGTATATTATAGTAATGTATGTGGTCTAAATGTGTTCTACAGTGTGTTAGGACTGTCGTGTTCCTGTAATGGAGAACAGTCACGGGTGTTTGTCTTCCTACAAATGCTCAGAAAAATATAAATCGGGTACTTTGTGAAGGAGTTAGGACATAATATAATATAATATATAATATTATTCAATAATTATCACAAATCGCCAGGGGAAATGTGATTATATTAAATTTTTGTGATTTGTCCCACCATACGCTGTTCAAACTGACTTACGGCGCTGTGGGATGTTTGGAACTGAGCTCCATGAACCACGTGACCGCGAGTCGGCGAGTTCAAAGAGTGTCGTAACTCTCTCTTTCTACAGCTCTGACAGAACCCTGCCCTCCTCTCCCAATGATTGGACAGGAATTCGAGAAACGTGATTGGTAGCTCAGACTCGTGCTCTCATTGGTTCCACCTAAGTTCCTCCCACTGACGCTAGAATTGAGACAAAAAGATCCGTAACACTGTAGATTTGAGGTTTGTACCTGTAGAATGAAATGTGTGTTTTGAGAGTTTTGATTTCAAACTTGTACCATGATTTTTTTCTATTTGGAAGTCTGCTAGTTACAAAACAAAAGTTTTATGTTTCTGAATGAATGTTTGATGTTGCAAAATGAGTAGTAAATGTACAAAATAAAAGTTAGATTTTACAAAATAAAAAATACATGTACAAAATACAACGTTCCTGTTACAAAACAAGAAATACAAGTACGAATTGAGAATTACAAGTTAGAAAACTAAAGTTACAAGTTACGAATCCAAAGTTACATGTGATGAAACATGTTCGAAGTTACAAAACTTGGTAAAAGTTACGCTGAATATTGTCCCAATCCTAGCTCCATAACATCCTCCCTACTAAGGAAGATCCTGTCTGATCAGCTCATCAGCTGAATGAGAGCACCTGTCTGCAGGACACAAACAAATTCAGTCCTCACCTCAGAAGGAATCAGTGGGTACAGCAAAAAACTGTTCAGCTTTGGGGGAAACCACAAAGAGGCTACTGGTATGATACTGACAACATTTTACTGTTGAACAAAATTAAATGAAATTGCCTGCTTAGATTTGATTTAATAGTATTTGACATGCAGTGGATGATATGTTATTTGGACTTTTTAATTTCATTATTAAAGCAGCATTATTAGATAAAATAATTCATTTCATTTTGACTGTAATTGTATAAATCTGTTTCTGTTTGAAGGTTTTCAACCTGATTACCTGATTTACCTCAAATAAATTAAGAAGAGGAAATGAGTTGTTTCCTAGCTCACTTTTTGTGGTGGATCAAGTCCTTTTCAAGTTTGGACAGAAGCTGAACGGAGAGAGAAACTTGACAGTTGAAAACCAATGCACTCACGGTGAAGGATCATAGGCCTGAGTCAAGAGAAAGAGCTGTTTCAGCAGCAGAGGAAAATAAAGACAAAGCCTGGACCACGTTCTTGATTATAAGTTGTTTCACACAAGATGGCAGAAGAAGCTTTTGGGAAATCAGTGAGTCAGCTGAAGAGAGAAAAAACCATGGCTAAAAGTGCTTTCACCAAAGCAGCTAATTCCCTCACAAGAGAAGCGCAAAGCATGATGAAAGGTGAACTACAAGAGGAGTTCAAGGAACTCACATGTGAAGCAAGAAGACTCTGAGAGTCAAATGATGACTATAAAGCTCGCTTACTAGCAGACCTCGAGGCTGAAGACGGAGAAGAGCTAAGCAAGCAACAGGAGCCTGAACTGGAGAAAACTGTGAATGACTGTCAGACAAGGTTGGATGAAGTCAGAGCCCTAATTCAAAACAAATTATGATCAAGCTATGGACATGAGGTGATAACTGCAATCCAGGAAGCAGAAAAGACATGTGAGGAGGCTATGGCAATGCCAGTCAGCGCCATAAACCAAGATGGATATGAAGTACAGATCGCCTTCATGAGACAGCTGGTCCAAGAAGCTGCTAAGACCCTAGCATTGTGGGAGATGTGGATTCCAGCCACAGAGCGACCTGAGCTGGAAGACCGAGTAAGGGATTTGAAGCTCATGAAGAACAAGCTCGGTGCGAAGAGAGTAGAGTTTGCAATAGCAGGAAAAATTGCAAAGGACAAAAGAGATGCAGATGTGGCAGCAGCTGCTGCATCAGTGGCCACCAATATGGCTACTACACCAGCCACTCACCCTATGCCCATTGTGAGAATATAGCCAGCAAGTATGCCCAGATTTCATGGGTGCAATAGAGTTCCACCGATGGAAGAAGGACTGGGAAAGTCTACAAAGGCAAGAAGAACCCACTGGCTCAGTGGAAGTGAAAAAAAATACAACTTCTGGACAGTGTAGTGTCATGAATGGCCTCTAATTTGTGACAAAGGTCACATTTTCCCAGCTGGGTCAAGCTGGGACGTTCTGTAACTTTGCCCCACAGATTAACCACGCCAGGAGCCGTGATGTCTGCTGAAACACCATCTTTATCTGCTGCTGTTCCATCCCAAGATGAAGGACACTTCAAGCTTCACAATAATAATTTTAAATAATAATTTTAATAAACTCTTGACTTTATTACTGTTATTACAATCATCATAAATAATCTCTTTATTCAGTATAAATGTATTTTAATTACTGAAATGACTTATTATGCTTTGGTTATAATAATGATTATGGTTGATAATCCTAATGTGTGTTCAGCAAACCAGAAGGTCATCTTGCACGTTAGCCAGCCTCATTCAGAAGGGATCCAGGGTAAAGGGTAAAACCATCACATGTCGTTACCTCATGACCAAGCTTTCTGACGCTGAGAGGGCGTGTTCCGATGGTTTTGTTAAAACCGAATCCCGCAGCAAAAAGTTGAGTTCTTGAACCATACCAGGAGAAGAGGGACGGCCGCCCAAATCTCTACTAAGCATTCTGTCACGCCAATAGAATTGCTTCGAATAAACGCACCTGTTTCCAGCTGACGCAAAACTCCTTCAGAGTTATTGATTTTGAGACGCTAATAGTTCCACCAGTCGAGTGACCCACAGAGACATCTCGGGACCGATTTGGTCGCACTAAGGTCCTTCTACCAGCCTTGTGCCCAGAGGAAACCATCTCCACCTGACATCTCGGATCCAGAAGAGGGTTCCTGATCTGGGTGAGGTAGACACTCTTGACAGATTGCGTCCGTATGCTGTTTCTTCTAATAAACATCAGTTAGCTGCAAAACAACTTTCCACCCAGAACGATTCTCTCGCTGAAAGAAACCTTCTGATATTAATTCACACATCCAAAACTCTCATTTTCATTTTAGCTTCCATTCAGTCACATGTTTGCCTTTAAAACAAGTTTTAATATCAAATTGTCTGTTAAAAATGGTCATTTTTAAATTGTCATTTCAAATTGTCATTTTTTAAAAGTGTTAGTAATAAATTCTTAACTTTTAAAACTGGACTCTTTGAAATGAAACACAGAATGGTGTATATTTCTGGTTATTGAAAAACCAAAGATTCCTTTAAACTTGTGATTAAATAAACTTTTGCTATTAAATTTAATTATCTTAAATTAAACATTAATCTTTGGATTAAAAATAGACCAAGCTCGTTGGCATATGAACTTCTATCGAATATATAATGTCCTAGATATTTATATATGATAGAAGCTTCATTGTTAACTTGTTTGGATCTTTTCTCAGAATCTAACAAAGCTGATAGCAAACAGTGTTGATTCTAGTATGTAGTTAACTACGCTACAACAGCATCGATGAAAAAAATTCCAGAGACCTACATCTATCAACCTACAAATTAGAAATTTTCAGGGTGCTTGAAAACAGATTTGGAAATAAATCTACTATCACCATGGAAATAATTGAAGAACTTCAGAAAACACCCACAGTAAAAGCAAACCGGCCAAGAAAGGTTATTGACTTAATCCAAATGGTGGAAAAAGCTCTAGCTGACCTTACAGAGCCTGGAGATGTGAGTGCCATTAAGAACTCTCTGGTAACCAAGTCTATTGAATGCAAGTTAGCAGAGGCTGTAAAAAAAAGATTGGCTTGTGTTTATGGTGAACCCTGGCAACAATGTCACGCCAGACAATCATTTTGATAACCTTCTCAAGTTCCTGAAAACTCAAGAAGAAATTCTGGAGAAATTGGAACAACTTGGAGTAACTGAGAAGCCAGAGAGGCAAGAGAGTAAGATTGGAAAAAGGTTTGCTTCCACACGCTCCATAAAGAAAGGAGGATGTGTCGTCTGTGGAGATGAAAGGCATAAGGACAAAGTATTCTTCTGCAAAAGGTTCAAGGAA